ATAGTTGAAATTTACAGAGGGCACCTCTTAAGAACTGCACAGTGTTAAACAGCAAGCCACAATCTCTCAAAGGGTGTTGGGGTTTTCCTGTCTTCCTATTGGTTATCTTTTTTTTTTGATCGTGTTTTATCTTTTTGTCAGCTCGTGAGCGGGCGAAATTCAACAAATTCTGCAATCTGATTGGTTCCTGGAGCGGGCGAAATTTTCTTATCCGGACCGCCAAGGCGGACGGAATCCGTCGAGTTGATCTATTTTCGAGAACGAATTAGCGGTAATCGTCAATCTTTCGCCCTTTTTACACTTCCATAGACGATTAATCAACGCTGGTTTATCTCTATTCACCTTTAAATGGCAAGGAAAGTCACTGTAAGTAAATTCTATTGAGCTTTTTGAAGTTGTGAGAGTTCGTTTGGCCGTTTGTAGCTCGGCGCCTTAATGGTGCATAATCCTGTGTGTCTCCCTCTGTACAATTTTAAGTAAATCAAAGGAAACTATGAAGAAGTCATGGATACATTGCCTGCATACATTTACTTGATCTATGATTAGTTTATAGTTGATAATTTTTGAAATGACTTTTTAAAAGCCTTGTTGAACGCTCAAGTAGTACATGTGCAGTGCGACTAGCAAGTAAACAAAGATCAAATTACAGGCTGCTTATACACACCGCTTAAAAATTTTAAAGTGGAATATATCAATTAACTTTGATTGGCATTGGAAAATAATTAATATTATATTAACTTGTACATGTAGTGTCAATTGACTTCTACAGTCTGTTGCACAAGGAAGCCATTAAATGAGAGTTCACCATATTCACCAGTCTCAAATTAACACCCAGTCAGAGTTATTGGTCATAACATGTATAACGTTAGCGAGTCAGCAGTGCATTTTGGGTCAAGGTAATTTGGTTGTGGTGATTCTTCAGTTAACCAGCAAGTGTTGCATTATGAAAAGGCTGTATTGCAATTATGCAGAAAGTATATATGTCACATGCTTTTAACGTTCATAATTCAAGGCAATCAGCTCAAGAATGCCAAGAATATTTTGCACAATTTAATTTTACTTCAGTGGGACACGGATATTATGAGGGATCCACTGTAATTGGCTAAGTTGTAGTGGTCTGATGTCCCTGCCTAATAATAGAAATGTATACAAGTATTTTAATTAGTCTGGCAAAGTTGAATAAATAAATAAAAGATATTACAAATATTAGTAATATGATTTTATCTAGCTGGTAAATGGGAATAGAGAGAAAAGTATTTCTGCAAATATTATAAGAATCACTACAAACAGCTTTCAGCATCCCTCCCAGAGAGGGCTACTTGAAAAAGTTTGGCTGAAATGATACTCTACCATGAAATCACCTACTACCTCTTGTACCGTGTAATATATCAAACACGAAAGACAGCGATTGACCACATTTCCAAACACCAAGAAGAGAGTTAAAAATACTACGTGTAGCGCAGTATTTTTGACAAACTTCGAGCTGTTTGGAAATGTGGTCAAACACTGTCTTGAGTGATATATCTTCTCAATCAAAACTAAAACTAAGGAGAAACGGAGAACTAAAATCGTAAAAATCTA